TCCTTGAACTTTCACTTTCTTTCACTTTGGCCATTTTTACTCATTTCTTCCAAATTTCACATTTTTCATCAAATTGCGACCTAGATCAAAATATAAGAGTAATGAGTGTATTTTGATATCAAATAATCATACGAATGCAACAATTAAGAGGAGAAAATATCATATTTTACACTCTTATTTATTATTTATATTTTAAATATATTTATTAATTAACAAAATATCTGATTTTTGAAATGGGATCTCTAAATGTATTAGTTCATGTATTTTCCACTAAGAACATATGTGAGAAAATGTGAATTTCAATGATCTTTTCTAGACAATTAGGATATTTTCATTTTCTTGTATGAAGCTTATATTTGATGTTTGATGTCTCTGACCTCTTATTCTCCGTTCAGAAAATATATTTATAAAAAAAATTATGAATTCAGTTAAAGTTAAATATTAATTTTAATTATATATTAATTTAGTATATATTATTATTCATAAATTTAGTGAGAGTTACTATTATTCATCTTTATAAATCATTTATAAATTTACCACGTGGAGGTTTTATAATATGATTATAATAAACTATCACGCTCAAATTATTTCGTTTTTCTTCGAATTTGTTGATTAACAAGAAACAAGTGCACACATTTCTAGTGTTGTATATATATAAGCTAATTAATTGTTGTGACATATCACCGGTACATAACATAAGTTATATAACTATTTTATCTAAAAGTTAGCATAAATTGTGTTTGTTCCTTTAATATAAAAATGATTTGCATAATCTCTTTTGTTTATTCAAGGAAAATTTGTAAAAAAAACTTGTTATAAGCTTATTATGCTTATAATCTCTTTTGCTCTCCAACACCGAAAATAAAAATGTTATACGAGGCACCAAAAGGTGACTTTTCGTCTCAGCTGACATACACGACTCTAAAGATGTCGTACTTTACATCCAAGGGAATGCCACCAAAGTATGGAAGAATCGTGTTCCGACAGTCCGAGTTCAGTATATCAGAATAGCAGAACTGAAGAGATTTCCACACAAAAAGACCAACAAGTTTTGGCAGAGTTTGAGATTTCATGCAAACTCCAGCAGTTGCACCTTCCATTTTTATAAAACGGTCTTTGAATAGAGATAAACATGCACAAGAAAGCGTGTGTTCATTCGGGTTATCGTCCAAAATGGTGGCGCAGCTTAGGGAAATAACGTCGCCATTGAAGAATTTTGCTGCTGGGGAGCCATCTTTTGATTCGCCATTGTATGCTTCGAAAAAACTGCTATCAATTAAGATGGCCATGCTTGCTACATTTGTCAGCATGGAAATCTGAGAAGGAAAATTATGAAGAAATTAATTTACTTATAATCTTTTTGCTAGGTTTCAAGTATAATTTACCCACCCTCTTCTAAGTCGAGTTACTATTTCCAACTATATATATTCGACTTTCATTAAAAAAAAAAAAAAAGTTGAACCCCAAATGTCCCGCCCCTAAAGTATCGTGAGGGAGGTAAATAGCGGGATGTGCCCCAACTGGATAGGGAACAAGAGCTTGCCCGTACACTGGTGTTCACAAAGAGTCCAATTTCATATCTTAGGATTCGAACTCTCGTACTGCGACTGTCAACAAGGTTGAGACTACATCACTCCCGTCTTTTGCACCACTAGATTATGCCCTGGGCTTCAATTAATTGTATAGCTAGCAAATTACTTGTATTTGATTTTGCAAGTTCTATCATCTTATATTTGATAGTACAATATCTTTGGCATTTCCTTTATTCCTTAACGATTGCATCAAACACCACTAGTCTATGTTGCATAGTTACAATTTTATCTATAAGTCTAATCTTGATTTTGTTAAAAATCAAATTTTGATTAAAGTTGATGAAACGTGTGATTGAAAGGATTATTAAAATTCTATTCCATAAAATATGTGATTAAAACTAATTATTGACTTTAACTCAAAATTTTATTAACTTTTAAACTAAACCAAAGAGACTACTTATCTCAAAATCCCATTTAACTTTTTACAGGCTCATCTTTTAAACTTGGTCAATACTTGTTCCCCCTCTTCTTTCACAATATAAAGTTGCACTCTTCAACAAAATTTAGTCCATTCGAATGAATAGAATCGAATACACGTGATAAAATTGATCAATTTGTCGAAATGAAACAAATGATCTGCCTATTGAGTTCCTTGAAATCCTAGTAAATAATCAAATTAAAAATAAGTGATACTTACCAAAGCTGCGTTTAGTAATTGCTTATTGTCAGTAGATCTCTTCATCCACGCTCCATACCACACTATCTGCAGTAAACATCAAAAGTTCAAGCTAAGTAAGAGAGAGACGATCTATTCGATTAAGTATAAGTCTTTAAGAAAGAAAACATACCATGTTCCCATGAATACTTCTAAAGATAGAGCTGTGAATACAACCAAGATTTTCAGTGCAAAGCGAAAATTGCTTTAAGGCATCGACTAGATCATCAACAAACAGAACCGTTGGTCGGAATACAAGAAGACTTATGTGCAAATTCCTATTATTAAAAGGCACAAAGCATGCCATAGTCACTTTTCTTGATCTCCTTCTTGTATAATAATTTCCCTTTTGCTCTCTCTATATTTGGAAATAAATACGAAAAGAATATATAGTTGAAGAGACATTTGATGTTGGAAAAATAATGGCTTTGAGTTTCAAACAAGAAATGTAACTTGTTGGTCTTACTTGGCTTCTTTTTAGGACTAAAAACTTTGAAGAATTGATGAAAGCTAAAGGCAAAGACCACGAGTCTTGAATATTGACTATGGAAAACGTATTATAATTTCCTTTTTGACGTTTGATTGTAAATTTAAGATAAATTAAAGTATTATATGTTTTATGATTTGAATTCATCCTATCGAATTATAGAGACGTAGTTGAACAACAACTTTGAAGGTTTTCACTTATTTTTATAGTCAACCGTGTACAATTTTTGTTTACAAACGATCGTAACTCTCATTTTTGAATGTTCATTTTTAACTAACACAATGATTGTTAATGTAATGGACAAATACTTTACATGGCCAATCAACACAATTTGCTTGTGATAAGATTTTCACAATTTTGAATAATTAATTAATAAAACATAAAAAATTGGAGGACAACAATGAAAGAAAGAGAAAAGAGATTAATCAAATATAGAATAACCTTTTTTTTTTGTAATTTTCTTCCGCAAGTTGTTAATTGTCAAGATTATCGCTAATGTTGTTCAACATATTAATTATTATGTGCTCAAACACAAATTATTTATTATCATTTGATTACAATCATGGTGTATTCTCGAATTGTCTCACCTAAATGATCAAATTAATCAACATGACATTAAAACATGCAAATGTCTTAAGTTCGAGTATCCACTCCTTTTCTTTTCATTGAAAATTATATATGCGTACGCCTTTAACGTAAAAATAGATTCATTCCGACCATGTTGGGACAAAAACCAATTAACAAATTTAACCCGTCTTTATAAGTTTAAGCATTTAGACGAAGTTCTCGAGTGAAGAAAGTATACCGGTGAGTATAGTTATGCTTTTACATCCAGACAAGTTGCAACAAAAGGGAGCCACAGTCCCACAAAATACATGGTAAAGAAGGCATTTTCAGTTCTTCAGGTTAGTTCATTCGATTTACCGTTGCACTAATAAATCTTCATATCGAGCACAAATATGGTACTAATCGAAATGAGATTCTAGCAGACGAGGCAAAAATATGAATTTCATCTATTGCTTTTTGCAGTATTGTTATAGGATTCTTAGGCTGCCTTCACCTCCTTATTGATGATCAAGGCGAGTTCTTCCTGGTACAGACTACACAAAACTATTTTAAAGCTTTCCATTACAGTTTCACTGCATCAAATTCAATCGGTAGAACCAAGTTGACCATATCCAATCATTTGCCTTGACATACTCAAGGGTTCATTGATCGACGGATTCTAGGAATGTCAGAAAGCACGTCGTCTCAGAAGCATATACTAACCGTTAATTTACATAATGCAATGTCCCTGATCTTCAACCCAAAATTTGTGTATGTATTAATAAAAAATAAAAGGTTGAACCCCAACTTTAAGGGTCCCCCACCACCCCTGCCCTGGAGCATCGTGAGAGAGGTAAATTGCAGGTTATGCCTCCAAGGGTACAGGTGGAAAGCTGTTTGTACACTTTCACTTACCCAAGAGCCAAATCCATATTTCAACCTCAAGCAAAGCTGAATTTCTCCACCTTCCCCTTTTACCACTTGGAGATGTGCCCTGAGGGCACGTGTATGTATTAATATTCTACATGTGAGTTTCTATTAAATGATTACATGCAAAATAGCATTCCTTTGCAGAATTATTAACAGCGGAAAACTAGAATTGATGAAATAATGATGAATTAAAATAGGGAATGTTGTCCCCATGATACAGAAATATTGCCTAAAGAAATAAACAATTTTTCTACAGCTGTTGAATAAGTTTGAACCTGGGATCTATTCGTACATCTTCATGCTATTCTAGTGATAACTCTGCGTGTTAATTCTACAAATGCCCACCTTGATCTTTGAACACCCTCGTCATCATTTTGACGAAGGGAACCAATTGCAACAGAAGGAAGATTAACATGAAAAATCATTTTTAAGAAAAAAATAAGACAGGATGAAAATGATGAGCAGATTCGCATTGGATTCCTCTAAGCAAAACATAAATTTCACGGTTGAGGAATTATTGCCGTACACATCTGATGGGCTATATTTGGCCCTCAAAATGATTCTTGTTAATGAATTTCCCGTTCTTTGTCAATCACTATTTTCAATTAACATGACCAATTCGAGATGCAACTCGAGAAAATTTACATCAAATTGACTTACTTAACGGTAAAGAAAAAAAATGCATTTTTTTTTAAGAATGTGTGGTTAAAAATTAGGGAAATGTTAAGCGTACTATTTTATTCGGAGAATGTGGTTAAAAGTAAGTTTGAGGAAAAATGATTTTCAAATAAGCTATGCCAAACAAACGCTAAATTTAGTGCTTTTTCCAAAAAAAAGGTGAAACTTCAGGTTGGGTTTGAAATTACCTGTGTTATAGAGATGCTTCTTGCACATTTATAAAAGATCAAGACTATAATCAGACGTTTTATTCAATCATAGAGCTGCATTCACTGCTACTTCGTCCTTCTCCATTTGAATGTGTAGCAAAGACAGAGTCATAAACTAATTCAGCTTGTGAAAATGTCTTGTCTTCAACTAAGAAGGTTTGGATACTTTTGTCGACTTCAATCCAGCTGCAACCAGGATTATTTCTCAACCCTAAATCTTTCATCTTCAATCTCACCTTGCGTGCCTCGTCCCATTTCTTGGTAGAAGCATACATCTTTTCCAAAATGATATAAGTTGATGGATCATCTGGATCCTTCTCAATTAGAAGTTTCGCAATTTCCTCCCCTAATTTTAATTCCCCATGCAAATGGCATGCAGAAAACAGTGTGCTCAATAAATCAACGTCCTCTCTGATATATTGAGTTCTCTGAAGAATATCATAAGCTTCATATAATCTCCCAGCACGTCCTAGAAGATCTACAAGACATGAGTACTCTGCAAATGCAAGTAGGATACCATAATTATTTACCATTAAATTAAAGTAATGATGGCCCTCATCAACTAATCTTGCATGACTGCAAGCAGAAATTACAGCAAGGAAGGTAATCCCGTCAGGTTTCAAATTAGATTTTAACATTTTATCAAAAAGTTTCAAAGCTTCAAATGCTTGACCATGAGATCCGTAAGCTACGATCATTGAAGTCCATAACACCAAATCAATTGTAGACAACTGATCAAATATACCTTGAGCCTCATTTATATCACCACATTTTGCATACATATCGAGAAGTGCCCCCGTTACTATTTCGTTAGAATCCAACTTACTTTCAATAATGCAATTATGTAACTCTTTGCCCCTTTTCAAGGCAGCCAGTTGTGAACAAGCTGCCAAGCACTGGTGAATGTAATAGCATCAGGTTTTATACCTGCTTTCCTTGAGTCATCGCATATGCCAAGAGCTTCAACGTAACAACCTGTTGATACATAACCGGAAATCGTTACATTCCAAGCAACTAAATTGGTTTTTGGCGTCATTCGAAAGACTTCTTCAGCTAGTACAACACTTCCACACTTGAAGTACAAATCAATTAGTGAACTGTACGTGAAAATATCGGATATTATATTATTTCTTATAATATAACCATGAACAAATTTTCCATGTCACAGTTGAGTTGATGTAGCACAAGCCCCTAACAAGCTGGTCATTGTCGTTGAACGAGGACTAATTTTCTCTTGATTCATCCGCACTAAAAGTTTATTGCACAACACACTATCCCCCCTCAAACTGTAACCTCCAATCATTGCATTCCAAGAAACCAAGCTGTTATTCCCAATTTTGTCGAACACCTCTTTAGCCCTCTCCAAGCAACCACACTTCCCATACATATCCACAAGAGCAGCTTTTACATAACCATCCAACACAAGCCCACCCATCACCACTTCTTCATTGATTCTCTCCCCCCTTTCAATATCCAAAAGCCTTGCACAAGATGAAATAGCTCGTGAATGAGGCAAAATCGGGCCTAAACCCCGATTTTTTCATCCTCTCAAAATAACCCAATGCTTTCTAATACTGACCACTTTGATAATAGCAAGAAATCACATTATTCCAATTAGCACATTTTTTTCAAGCATTTCATCAAACACCTTTACAACTAATTCAAATCCTCCAGACTTGGCATACACACTTATCAAAGAGATAGCAACAACAACATCTGCTAAAAACCCCGTTTTTATCAAATTGACATGGACCTTGTTACCATATTCTACTCTCCTTAATCCACCGCAAGCCTTCAACACGCTTGGATATGTGTAACTATTGGGTTTCAAATACAGGAACCACAACAAATCTTTGTGTTACTAAAATTAGGCCATTCCAAAATGTGATGTCCGATGGATTTTCAATATTCTGAAAAACCAGCTTTGCTAACTTATTTTCCTGACATGAAATATAATGGTTGATGAGATTTTTGCATACAGCAATGTTGTTTTGTAAGCCGAAAGAAATAATCTTTTGGTGTATGGCTTGGATTTGTTCAAGTGATACAACATATGTGCCACGTTTTAGGAGAGAAAACATTCTAGTTGCGATTGTGGTATCCATCCAAAACCTTTGTGTCAATTTTTATTTATTTTCTAAATAGAGAAACCTAAATAAAATTTAAGAAAATTATTGAATTCCATCATATTTAACTACCTTCACATCAATAAAATTCAGCCTTTCCTCCGGCTAGCCCCACTTCCTCCCCACAAGAGCAAGCCGTTTTCTACCTGCCCTCAGCACAGTTCCCTTTCGTCCCTGGAATTCATACACTGCCCTCTTTTCCATTTCCAATCACCTCAGAAACCAAATTAGAATAATCACGAAAATCCAACCCAAACAGTATGACAATCACTAAGTTCAATATATTGTTTTCACATGGCCATTAATTTTTTATACCTATTTAATGCTAACCACAAAAAATAAAAATAAAAAAATAATAATAAATATAAAAACGAATATTTTTAGTGCAACCCGCTGGAAAAATGGGAACAAAGCGTAATGTTTGGATGAACTCAAATTCGAATCGCCTAATTTTTGGATTTCGCTGCTGGTG